CAATCGTTAATTGATATACTATAATTTGGAACTTCAACGCCTAGACGCATGCTTATGTGTAAGAAATTTAAAGTGTCAAATTCGGCACATTATTCTTCATCATTTTATTCACTTCCTTTTTTTTTTTAATATCCTAAATAAAACCTCCCAATATTGTACTAATTAATTATATATAAATGATTATGGTGTGTTTAAACTTCTTTCATTAATTACTACATATTTTCTACACTCACAATGTTTGCCAGCTCGCTATATAATCAACTTAAATCAGTTAAATCCATCATGCAATACATTTCCTTCCAATTTTTTGTGATAAACTAATAGATAATTGACCAAATAAACATCCTGCAAAGTTTCATTAAAAATTTCCAAGTTTTTCTTACAATTTCCATGGTTTCCATGTAATTTTTATCGATATCGATATTATCCCGATATTTCCATCGATATTTCCGTGTTTTCGGACTACCAATATTTCCGATATTACCGATATTTTCTTCCTTGCTCGCAACTACTACAACTGGTAGCTCCGCCTCCTGCGAATCAATCTCAAACCGAAATGAACCCAACCCAATGCCAGAAGGTTCGCTTTGCCTAGCACCAGCTTCCTTCCCCTTCCTTCTCCAGTTCTCCTCGCTTCGCCCAACACTAACTACAATTTCATATTTGTTCCTATGCATACAATTTGCGATGGCCGTCATATCTCGGTAAGAACATACTTGGAAGACTTCACACAGAAATAAATACAAAGCATATTATAGTCACCAGCAAGATAGTAATTCTTTGGGTTCTTTAGAGAAAGGCCCTTGAAACTCTTATTTTCCAAACAAAAATCCACCTAATATTAAACATACAAATAAAACCTAAATTTCAAATAGACTACCATGTAGACAAATATATAACCAATTATTACAACATATTTACAACTTATGCCACAAACCCCTAATCTAAATTACATTAATAAAACCCTCTTTATCAGTCAAAAAGGGTAAAAAAATAATTTTATCTTCTACCACAAAACAAAATCATGGGCAGTAAAGTACACACAAACTAAATTTTACAATTTTTTTTTCAAAGCCTCACCCAAAGTGATCCTAGCATCCTCTAATTTTGAAAAATAAAAACTAAAAACTAAAAACTTCTCTCTTCCACATTCCTTTTTTTTTCTCCCTTTCTCCATCTCATTTTAAAATAAAAATAAAAATTATTTTCACACACAAAGTGTGAGGCATATGCTAGTTATGTTAATAAATACTAGCAATTGGCATACACGCAAAGCGTGTGCAACAACTTTCATGTGTCACTTGCACTATAGAACCAAATTCAAATCTCTTAACTTTTTTTTTTCTTGAGAAAAGCCATGAAGATGCATCTACACATGCGAACAAACACAAATTACAAACTAGGAGTGGAAAAAGATATAATTGATGACAAACATACTCCCAATTCTTACCTTTGAATTAATCACTAAAATATGAGAGTTTCCCTACTCTCATCCACAAATTGTCTCATACTGATTTTAAGAACAGTAAATGAATAACAATTTGTTACATCCCACATTGTCCAGGAGAGTGGATCCTGTAAGCCTTATATGTATATTCACATCTCTACCTAGCACGAGGCCTTTTGGGAACTCACTGACTTCGGATTCCATCGGAACTCCGAAGTTAGATAGTTCGGACGAGAGCATTCCTAGGATGAGTGACCCACTGGGAAGTTCTCGTGTGAGTTCCCAGAAACAAAACTGTGAGGGCGTGGTCGGGGTCTAAAGCGAACAATATCGTGCTACGGCGGAGTCGAGCCCGGGATGTGGTGGGGGCCTGGGCGGGGATGTCACACAATTAATTGAAATAAAAACATCATAAAATAACTAATTGCAATATAAATTATTATATAAATAGAGAGAGAGAGAGAGAGTGAAGTTGAGGGTTGAGGGTTGAGGGTTGAGGGTTGAGGGGGAAGTGTGGAAGTTACCGTAAAGAGTAGAACTGCTTTGGAGGTGGAAGTGGGGAAGTTATCATTAGTTTTAGACTTTTACTTCTTTTTTATATTTTTTAATGATTATCCACAATTATTATTTTGATTGTATCCACAATTACTAAACCTTGTTTATAAACTCAACTTATGAAAGTAAGGGTAGAGTTGTCTTTTCCTGCGTTTTTTGGTCGATAAAGACTCTTCTCTTATTAATAGTATAGATATTGCCACTTAGTACTACGGTCTAGTGGTATTCCTCTTCATTTGTAAGTGAGAGGTCTTTCCCACCAAAAACGAGTTTAAACCACATTATTGCTAGCTCATTGTGAGGCTAAATACACTCCCTCCCCTTTAGTTTAGAAAATATCGTTTGTTCAAAATAATAATAGTATAGATATTACTCACCCTAAATATGATTAGCAATTAACTCCATATGGAATTTTTACCTTTTTTCATAAATATTAGTAACAATATATATATATATATATATATATATATATATATTTATTTATGGGCACATTTTTTGTATGAATAAAAATAAGGGTGATTTTGTGAAAAATCAATAAAAAGTTACTATATTAAATCAACAATATTTATGTTAATTATAAATAGGTCAATTATGTATTGTGATACTTAAATGTATTTAAAATAAACAAAATTTACAAAATATGCCACTACAACTGACACCCACTTCAACTAACACTACATTTCTCATAGTTTTATATTTGGAATAAGTCAATACAAATCAGACACTGCAATGTAGTGTCTGTTTCCTGATTTTGTTTTTTACATTTGGATTCAGACACTGCATTGCAATGTTCATTTATTGGTTTCGTTTCGTTTCCTGGTTCCTTTTTTTTTTTTGAGTTGAGCAGACTCTTCCATGTAAAGGAATGGTGAGAGAGTGAGATAGAATATACATATTCTATCCATTTATAGGATTCAAATCCTCCTAAGATCAGTTATATAGGAATAGAAATCCAACGACCAATGCCTCATCCCCCGCCTCTCTTCCCTTTCAACTTTTTTTTCTCCTTCGCGCCCCCACACCCCACTATTGTTAACAACCCCAAATTCAATTGCAAGTCATCTGTTCTCTAAGTCAGATATATTTTTTCACTATCCCTTACTGTTTTAGTTTTTTATTTGTCATCTATTTCTTCTTCTTCATCTTTGAGATTTCTCTCTCTATCATTCTTCCATAGTTATGAAAAGATCTTTGCAACCAAAAGACATTCATTTGCATGACCCCCCCCTCTTTGTTGTTTCGTTAACATCGGCTGAGATTTTAAGGTCAAGAGACTTGTAATTGTGGGATGTGGCGGTGTTAAGGCTGATTTTGGAAAGGGTAAGGTGAGGGACCTACAATTATGGTTATGGTTGGGTGAGTTGTGGCGGTGTTAGGGCTGATTTTAAGGTGGGGTTGAATTTAATTTAGAATTTAGGGAGTTAGTGGTTCTAGGTTAAGAGCTTTGAAGTGAGGGAGAAAGAGAAAAGTTGACAGAAAAAGAGGAAGGATAAGAGATTTTGGCCGTTGGATTTGTATTAATGGATGATGTAAGATCCCACATCAACCAACAGAGAGGGGGGTGATGTGCCTTCTATGTACACACCCACCTCATATAGCACGAGGCCTTTTGGGGACTCACTAGCTTCGGATTCCATTGGAACTCGGAAGTTAAGCGAGATCGCGAGAAAGCAATCCCAGAATGAATGATCCACTGGGAAGTTCTCGTGTGAGTTCCCAAAAACAAAACTGTGAAGGCGTGGCCAGGGCCTAAAGTGGACAATATCGTGCTACGACGGAGTCAGTCTGGGATGTGTCAGAATGGTATAAGAGCCACTATGCCGTTCAGTGCGAGTGTGCCAACAAGGACGTCAGACCCCTTAGAGGGTGGATTGTAAGATCCCACATCGACCAACGAAAAGGGGGTGATGTGTCTTATATGTACATGCCCACCTCCTATAGCATGAGACTTTTTGGGGACTTACTAGCTTCGGATTCCATTGGAACTCCAAAGATAAGTGAGTTAGGGCGAAAGCATTCCCAGGATGGGTAACCCACTTGGAAGTTCTCGTGTGAGTTCTCAGAAACAAATCCGTGAAGGAATGGTAAGCCTAAAGCGGACAATATCATGCTATGGCGGGGTTGGTTTGGGATGTGATAGATGAGACCCATTGGTCCGTAGGATCTCCACAAAATTTATTCGGAGAGGATTTAAATTCGTATTTATAATGGCTTAAGCCCATAGGACATTCATAGAGAGAAAAAGAGAGAGAATGATAGAATAGTCAAATTCTAACTATTTATAATGACTTAAAGCCTATATGGCATTCATCATTGACCTATGTCTAATTAATAAAAATAGGTCATTGATATATGGCTTAATAGTAAAGTTTTATTGACTTTTGGCTAAATTACCTTAAAAAATATATATACAATAAGTTATTTTGCATAAAATAATATTGTTTGATAAAAAATCAATTATTATTCTTTTATTTTGTAGTAAATTATTTTACATACATTAGCCATTTTTTATTTGTTATTATATATGCGTGTTAAAAATAATTTATCTATACTTATATGTAAAATATAAGTAAATTTATTTCGAATCAAACCACATTTATTTTGTAGGTAAATTAAACAACATTTATATTGTAGGTACATTATGTTTATTTATTTATTTTTTTTGCCAGAAGCATTAACATACAATTTGTTATGTTTGTACAAAAAAAAAAGGTAAATTAAAATTCATAAATAAACATTTATTATGAATCAACCAAGATTTATATTGTAGGTATATTATGTTTGCAAAAAAAAAAAAAAAAACAATAGGTAAATTAAAATTCATAAACAAGCAGTAGTATATATATATATATTTTTTTTAATCAAATTACTTTCTTTTATTTTGTAGGTAAATTATTTTGCATGCATTATTACATATATTTGACGCATTTTATTACTAATAAATATATTTAATGCTAATTGTATTAATCTAAAATTTTAAAATAGATCACAAGATTCACAACTTAAAATATTTATTTAATTATTATAATAAAATATTCATACAATTTTAAGTGAAAAAATAAAATAATTGAGTACAACTACGGGGATGGCTGGTGAAGTGGCTGGTGGAATGGAGCTTGAAGGCCACTTGGAGGTTAAGGAATGCGAATGACAGAAGCTACCATGGGGTATCCCAGCAATGTAATAGCAGACGACTTCTCGCTCGTGCTCAACTTCTTCTCTTTTGCGTTCAGCTTCTTCTCGGTGGCTCGCTAGCCATCTCCAATTACTGTAGCCTGGAAGTGATCCCGGTTGGAGGATGACAGACAGCTAGATAAAGAAGAAGCCCCCTGAATGGTGAGCAGTAAATACTTTCTATTAGAGCAACTCCACCCTTAAGCCCTCCCTCTTGACAATCCACTATTGAATCCACCCTATTGAACAATAACTACCTTTAATGAATAGTAACTACTATTAATGAACAGTAATTACCTTTTGCATCTCCACCTTTGAAGCCCTCTCCCTGACAATAAGTAATAAAATATTAGTTTTTTTTGTTTGTCTAAATAATACAAAATAAAAAAAATATGGAAATGAGGCTGCAGGCCTCGGGCTGACATAAAAAAAATAAAAAAATGCCTAACCCTCGGGCTGCACGCCTGTCAATTCCCCACCCCCCTTATGCTCGGGCTCCCACCCTCACTCGGACTCTCCAAGGCTGGAGGGTTGTCCACCGGACCTCGGGCCATTTCCTCTCCCCTATCCCCCGAGCACCGTCCAAGGCTGGACTTGCTATTAAAAGCTACACCGACAACTTTTAGAATTCTACAACCCAATTACCATCAAGGATGCGGAAATAAAGTGATGGGACTGGGGTCGTAGTAGAATGGACAAGCAAATAATTTCAATGCGTAATGTCATTAAAGATATCGCTAGGATTGTAGTTAGGAGTAAATGATGGGACAGCAAAGTATCAATAATTAGGCAGATACAGATCCTCTTAACGAGCTTATTAAATTTGTAGATTAAATTTTGAAAATTAAAAGATAAGCATTGAAGTTAGGAGTAAATGATGGCACAGCAAAGTATCAATAATTAGGCAGATACAGATCCTCTTAACGTGCTCATTTCTACCATTTGGTACATGGGACGGAATGGGACGAACTGTTCCGTCTCACGTTTGGTGCGCCTAAAAATTGTGGAACGGGTTGTCCCATGGGACGAAATTTGGCTGATTTTTCGTTTCACCTCTTCCCCCTGGAACGACCTGTTCCACATCCGTGGAACACAAATTTATAACATTTTATGACAAAATTTCTCCTTATCTTTTTTAATATTTACATCATCTGTTCCGTCTTGTTCCGTCACGTCCCATCCTATTCCGTCCCGTTTGCGTACCAAACGGTACCATAATGACACATAATTTAGTTTATAAATTTTACTTACAAATTTAATCTCCTTAACATTACCAATAAAGTAATTTTTATTATAGAAAATTTTAAATCAAAGCCGTTCAATTTTTTTCATTTGAAAATCATATTTATAAAAATGTTATTCAAATCGAATATTGTTTAGTCATTCAAATGTAAGAATTAAGAAATTTGAACATTTGAATAACTAAACAATATCTAATTCAAATGATGTTTTGTTTGGATGATTTTCAAATGAAGAATAAGAAACTAAACAATCCGATTATGAACAAAAATGCGATACATCAATACGGTACAAAAATGCGATCTTTTTAGCATTCCTCATGTACACAAAAAAAAGGCATTACAATTCCAACTCTTATCCCTCTATTCACCCCAATTATATGGCCAGCTTTCCTCCTCGGGGATAAGTATAATCGAAACTGTTCAATTTCTTATTTTTCATTTGTAGATCACCTTTACAAAAAAAAAATCATCTTGAACGGAGATCATATAGTCATTCAATCGTGTAGAACAAACAAATTGATGGTGTAGGTACCAAATAACATATTCATGATGAACTGTCAATTTATTTGATATATTTGAATGACTAAACAATCTCTAATTTGAATGATTTTTTTGTAGGAGTGATATTAAAAAAAATATTAATAAATTGAACGATTCCAATCGTTGATTTTATTCGGTCAAGATACAGTAATCCAAATAGGGATATGTGCATCCCCACATAGGAGATGCAAGTATTATCCTTTAAGTTATAAACAACATAATATAGATTAGTTACTGGCCTATGCATTATTACTATTTTTTTTTTTGACATCATGAAGTCATTCATTGGAGTCTAGTCTATGCATTATTACTATTTATTTTTTTCTAAATCTGGTATGCGTATTATTCTTTTTTTTGGTAAGACTAGCCTATGCATTAGAGAATTTTTTCAGGTGACCGGAACCTCACATCACCATAGACAGTTCGTGTACCCATCCAATTGGAGGATGCCAGTCCCCCACCAAAGAATCTATGTGATTTAGTTTTTAACAAAATCAATTAAACAAAAACTAAACCCAAAAAATAGAACATCTCGACTGCCGAGCCAACATCACCATGGACAACCGACAGCTGGAATACGGATTTGGATCCTCTCCTGAGCTAATGGAGAGGATCCTCCTGACTCATCATCTTGGGCCGTTGGATTTTTATCTAACGGCTATAATTATTATAACTTTAAAGAGACATCGCTATAATTATTATAACTTTAAAGAGACATTTCTGTTTGTAGTCGTTGGATAAAAATCCAACGGCCCAAGATGATGGGTCAGGAGGATCCTCTCCATTAGCTCAGGAGAGGATCCAAATCCCTGGAATACTACCTTCAGTGAAATGAGAGTGCATTTTTGCTCACCATTATATTTATCACTATTAGATGAATTTAAATTTTGAAATTTGTGCTTATCCACTACACGAATCTCGAAATTCAAATCCATCTAACGGTGATAAATAGTGTGGTGAGCATATACCATACTAAATGGTGGTGAGCAAAAATGCGCCCTTTTTCAGTATGACTGGAACACGGTATGATACATCATGTGTCACTATATAAATGGTGAGATATGTGTACTAAAAAATAAAATTTACAACCACTTATATAAAAACACGTGATGTACTATTCATATTCCAGTTTGTTGCTGCACTAACTATTTTGCCAAGTAAGATTACATTCCTTTAAAATGGGCAAAGTGCAAAGCTATGCCATTGCGATATACACACTACACACAAAGGAGAGAAAGCTTTGGTTTTTGTACACACCATGGCCTTCTCAGCAGAAAATCTTCTTTTCATCGCATCAACATCCCCAGTTTCCATAATCAGACATTCAAAACCCACAAACTCCAACATAGACACCACCCTCTTGCCCAAACCCTCATCACTCTTCCCTCTCTCACAACAACGCGCCATCTTGAGGACAAACAAGCGCTGCTCCGCTCTCTCCCAATCCCCCACTCACCCCGAATACATTCCCAACCGAATCCCAAACGAAAACTATGTACGAGTCGTGGACACGACCCTACGGGACGGAGAACAAGCTGCGGGGGCGTCCATGACTCGGCTAGAAAAGCTGGCCATTGCACACCAGCTGGCGAAGCTAAGAGTGGATGTGATCGAGGCGGGGTTCCCGGCTTCGTCCAAATATGATTCGGAGACAGTGAAGCGAATAGCAAAAGAGGTTGGAAGCCGTGTTGACGAGTGCGGCTACGTGCCTGTCATATCTGCATATTGTAGGTGCGTTCGTAGCGACGTTGACGCTGCATGGGAGTCGGTGAAGGACGCGACGCGCCCGCGCCTATGCATATTCATATCAACCAGCGAAATCCACATGAAGTATAAGCTGAACAAGACTGCCGATCAAGTTCTCGAACTCGCGAAGGAGTCGGTGAGGTATGCCAGAAGCCTTGGAGCTCAGGACATTACGTTTGTCTGTGAAGACGCTGGAAGGTGGTTAACTCTCTATCTCGTTCTTTCCAAAAACAATTTATATGAAACCGATTTACTATCACATAATGTTCTAATTTAATAAAGTAAAGATATGTGAAGAGATACCTACACATCACATTATACTAAAAATAAGACTTTAGCCCTGAAATTTAACTTATTTCACATAGAACTTGACATAAATTTTTTAGTCGAATAAAACCCATTGACTAAATTCCACATGAGCAAATTCATTAACACTATTTGGATGAGGAAAATAAACTTAAAATTTGAATAAAAGTCAGAATTTATAAATTGACATACACCAATTTCCTTGTTTGGATTCATAAATATAGAAATTTAGAATTTCGGCATGGAAAAAAAAATTGGAATTTGGGACCTTCAATTCCTAAGTTTAAATTTTATGTAAATATGTGTCATTTCCCAATTTCTATGATTGAAAGTTTAAAAATAAAAAATTCCGCATTCAATTTCATTGTTCTTTTCCGTCATTTTAATATTCACAAATTCTAAAAAATAAAATCTCATCATTTCACCAAACAAGAAAATTCACAAATTCTAGAAAATAAAATCACGTCATTTCTTTATCCAAACATAGTGTAATTATGTTTGACCTTACAAATATTTAAAACAAAAATCAAAAGAATAATAGTCCACTATCCACCAAACTAATAGTTAGGCCATGTAAACCTGAGTATTGAAAGTCAACTATATCAGTATACTTCTTGTTCGAACTTTTGAATCCTCTTATATAATTTAGACTAATTTAATGTAAACTGTCCCTCGTAAAAAAGAAGGATCGGGCTTAAAAACTAATTGATTATATGCTTTTAATTAATCTGAATTAGGTCTGAGAAGGAGTTTCTATATCGAATATATGGGGAAGCTATCAAGGCCGGAGCAACAACTTTAACATTCACAGACACTGTTGGCTACAATTTCCCCAGCGAAGTGGAGCAATTTGTTAAGGACTTGAAAGCCAATGTAATAGGGATCGAAAATGCAATCCTATCCATGCATTGCCATAACGATTTTGGTCTCGCTAATGCCAATACAATAGCAGTATGCGCACGCTTCACTCTTGTACTGAATTCAAAATTGATCGGTCTCTCTCAGTACCTCTTGAATTTTAATATTGTTTACATACTATAGGGGGCATATGCTGGTGCCAGACAAGTTGAAGTTACAATCAATGGCATTGGTGAGAGGGCTGGAAATGCTTCATTAGAGGAGGTAAATCTCTATTTTTGTCATCAATATACAATTATTGCTCATATTATGTAATCTTATAAGAAAAGATCTTACTTTGACAAAAAAAGGATGGAATAAACTAGCAATTATCTGATCAATGATCTAAATCAACAGTCTAACTATAACTTCATGTTTTTTCCTACACGTAAAGTTTGTGATGGCCGTCAAAACTCGTGGTAAGGACATACTTGGGGGACTTCATACAGGAATAAATACAAAGCATATAATAGCCACCAGCAAGATGGTAATTCTTCTTCTTCGTTTGTTTCCTTATATTTACCTGGTTAGTTTGGTTGGTCTGATTTACTGAAATGTTAAAACTCTTTGCATGCACTAATTAATAAGGTGGAAGAGTACAGCGGATTATCTGTACAACCACATAAGGCTATAGTTGGAGCTAATATTTTCTCTCATGCCAGTGGAATTCACGAGGTTATATTTCCATATTAACTTTTATTTTGCAGTTGAAATATATAAATAAATGATTTCATAAAATACACATATATATGCATATATAGAAAGAGAGAAATCTCCTCTGTGTGTGTGTTTTAGGATGGAGTTCTTAAAAACAAGAGCACCTATGAGATTATTTTGGCTGAAGATATTGGCTACGTCCATTCTAATGACGATGGCATTGTCCTAGGAAAGCACAGGTTTGTAATAAAGGATAATACTTGCGTCAATCTCATAAGTATCAATTAGTGTTTAAACATCTCACATTATATTTTTCTACAGTGGCCGTCATGCTTTGAAGTCTCGCCTCTTGCAGGTATTAATCGAAAATTATTTCTGATTTTTTTTGTTTAAACTTAATATTATATGATGAAAATAAATTCTCTACAGTAATTGCTTTTTTTGTTTTTATTGGTATTATTCAGCTTGGCCATGATCTGGACGAAAAGAAATTTCACGAGGTGTTTGAACATTTCAAGTCATTGGCTGAGACAAAGAAGGTAACAATGAATTAAGTCGATAAATAATCTTAATATGCCGTCAAGTCCTTATGATTGATTGGTTTTGCACATTGCAGAGTCTTACGAATGAGGACCTAGAATCATTGGTTTATCAGGTGGCCATTTAATTCCCTAGCCGCCAAAGAGAAAATCCTCCATTGTCGATTCTGGGCTCGGAGACAATCCTTCTTGATCCCTTTCCTATCTTCCCCTCTTTTCTTATATTATTTTATAAGATTTTCATTTAGCAGTTGTGGTTGCTCTTTCGATCTAATGAAGAGAACCTTCATGGTCGTAGCCGGTCTCTCACTCAGTCGATGAGTGCTGTGTGCGCGCTTTTTTGTGGCTTGTACACTTGAAAAGAGACTATTAGTAGGAAGCTAAACCTTTATTGAAGGTGAGTCATAGCTGGGCTTCTTTGCTGATAATTTCAAGATCATAAGAGGGTGGTGTGGTACTTTCTTCATAGTGCCTTCACGGTGGTTATTGCAAGGTTCAATCCTCATGAGTGTTATCTTTCATGTTAGTTGAATTAAAATCATTTGTGGCTCAAGAATTGTATTTTAATTATTTGAATTTTTAATTGTAGACTTGTGGTGTTTTGGATTTCCGATTGATTTTTTTCCCAAGTAAGGTTTGCTATTGGGATCACGTTTAACATGCCTATTCCATATAAGTTGTCGATCGTTGTTAATAAAATTTCATTCCATCTCAAAAACGGTGGCCATGTAAATCTAATGTTCTTCTATGCCATGACATAACATTAATGCACTTACCTTTCACTTTAGTTTTTTCTTCTTTTTTTTTTGTTTTTTTTTGAAACAATAAATTTTGTCAGATTAGATGTTAAATTAGCCACCGACGGGGTTCAAACACATGCCGTCATGCAAAAACTCAACTCATTTCCATCACAATGGTAAAGGGCCACTTACTTGCACCTTTAACTTTGGGCTTTGGATTTGATAAGGGTTTTTTATGTTTCTCTTCAACAAATGTTACTGGCAGTCACCCATGCACGAAACAAGTATCCACCAGTCAAAGTTGAGGTACAGTTAGTTCATAAAACGAGCAAAGAGCCTCAATTTCGTTGCTTGAAAATACATAACCTCAGAGATTGATGATTCTTCATGATCTACAAAAACATTATACAACACACTTTCAAAGTTGTAAAACCAAAATACCAAGATGTTTTTTGTCATCCAAGAATTTTGTACCAGTGTTTTTTGTCATCCAATAATTGGAGTAATTTACTTGCATGCGACCCTGCCTCCTCTATCTGGATCAACTAATTAGCTCACATGCCTTTGTCTAGTTCAGAAACATAGCACTGATTCTACTGGTAATCAAAATATCACCTGAAAACGACCAAAATCGTGTAAAGATCGGACAGCAGTCTTCACGACTCTTCTCGTGTTTTGTGTTTCTTGACTTCTTGACATGATGGTCATTATTGACTGAAACTGTTTCGGCACTGGTTCTACTAGGCTCTTGCAGAACTGATTCTCCATTGTTTCCCTTCCTCCTCTTAGCACTCCTGAAATTTTTTTCAACAATTACAATGCAGAATCTACTTTTTTTTCTTTTCCAAAATGGATTATATACTTTTAAATACAAACTCTTTCAAGTTAAATCCAAGGTCAGAGAAATACCCATCCGTTAGTGAAGTATCTTCCATTTGTTTATCCAACCAGAGAATGTTTCCTGTGTGAGCAGGAAGCAAGGAACCATAAATGTACAGTGTTTCCTCATCCACACTGCAAGCGTAATGCAAATGCAATGTTATGGAAGTAAGTACACAAGTAACAAACACTTTTTGCAAAACGAAGTACAATAAAAAACAAATGTATCACTTAGTTGAGAAGCTACAATGTAACAAAATGAGTACCTAACCATGTATATACTGCACGAAAGTTTAGTCAACTAGATTTTTTTTTAGTTTACAAGATATGCAGAATCCCCACAATATGAACACTTAAGCATACATCCTACCTCTCCATCATCACTTTTTCATGACTCAAGCATCTAATTCACAAATCTCGAAAATGATTGTGAGTTGTGACCTTTTGGAGTACAGTTTAGAATGTGTTACAAATTGGCTTTAAAACCGAAATCCACATTAATTGACAAGGTAAGGGAGGAGGGAGGGTGGGTTTGGGAAGGAGGATGCCTAAAAGAACGAAAACAGCATTCCACGGTAAAATAAAGAAAAGAGTATACCACTAAGAGCAATGCTAGAGTGACCACTTTCAGACCACATTCTGTGGCAGGTGGGGTTAACTTATGGCATCAACCATTATGACCAGTTGGTAACTGATTGAACACCTTCCAGTGCCACATGATGTTGATTACTCATGCGGTTCAAAAATGCAGTCTCTTCAGCATTGCTCCTACCAAATATCAGTTTTCTTTCAAATCATAAAAAGGTAATTATAATCAAAGGTCACCTTTTGACTAATAGTCGTATCATGGTTCCAACTTTAATTACATGCCGCTTGTGGGATCTGCTAACAAATAATTGCTTGCCATGTTTCTAAGAGAAGATTGGTACACCAGAAGGAAGATGAATTACTATTGGAAAGATTAAGGATAACAACATTGAAACACAATGATGAAGAAGACTCTTACAGATTTATATCGAAATTCCTCACAAATATCTTTGTCTGTTATGATGGCAGATGAGAAGCCAAGAATAATGACATGAATTGATTCTTGTTTGACTTTCACAACCTTTCCTTCTGCAGTGGCAGAACGTTACAAATCAATCAGCAGGATCAACATTAGTGGATACAAATGCATGTGTATCATTTGATACAGAATGAATTTTTAATTCATAACAAAATAAATCAAATTTTGAGCATAATATCCTTGAAAGGGATAAAATTTGTATGTCTGTTACTTTATTAGTTAACGCAGAACAAGAATACTACCTACAAGCATATCGGGCTTTGGAGAATAAAGTAATAACTTTGCTTTTAGCCTGACAGTAAAGTAAGGATGAACACCGGGAAGAATCTTTGCTTCCTTATCTAAGATGTTGAATTCATAAGCCAATACAATACCCTCAAATGTATCATTGTACCTGCATGAGAAATCAGAGACAGAAAATTAAATTCCCAAGTTGCTAAGAAATAAAAAACACGTGAAACAGAATATTATTCCAAAGAGAGCGACAAACACCCTCAACTTGACCAATACAGACCAAGCCGACTGTTGAATTTGGAGGGTTACAGTAGAAAAACAAATCCAAAAACAATGTATGAAGATATCATTCTTAACTCTGAATCCCCGATAAATTAGCTTTCATTTGCACTCTTTCTTAAGCAAATTACTTGTTTGTTGCAAGATATTGTCGGAACATTTCAGAAATACAAAAAAATGGGGGAACAAAGTCTGTTTCTGTTTGAAGTTCCGACTAAATAATTGGTACTTTTCAAACATAGTCTCCAAAAAGCTCATGTTTTTATTGGGAACTTTAACTCAACTGACTCTAATGAATTAGCTCTCAATCATACTCTTTCTTCAGCAAATTACTTATTTGTTGCAAGGCAGAGTCCAAACAACGGCATACATTGTGGGAACATTCAGAAGTTACAACAAAATGGGTGGCAAACTTCTGCTTCTCTTTGAAACACCGAACGAGTAACCCGGTATTTCACAAACAGAGTCTCCAAAAAGCTCATGCTTTTTTTCTAAATTCAACACAACTGACTCAGCCAACACAAAAAAAGGAAAAACCCCTACGAATAATCCTTACGCGAGCAACATCGAAACCAATCGTACAAACAGTATCAAGCTTCCAAATCCTTAAAATAATCAAAATTTTGAAAAATTAAAGAAAGGGTTGCTGAGAAAGTACCTCAAAAGCATCGAGCTGAGCTCGCGCAGGATTGCTTTGTGGACATTGTTGCTCGTCGACGGATGCAAATACACCACCAAATTGGTACCCGAAACGCTCAGCCCCTCCATTGAGCGCCCCCCAAACCAAACCGGAGCTAGGGTTTTTGCGACTATGGCGGAGAGCCTAAAACCCTAGCAGAGCGCTGGAACGTTGATGGGTTTATTCAAAATTTCACACTTTATTTGGGCCGGGCCAAAGTTAGGCCGCAGTATTCAAACTTGGGTCATAACTCATAAGTGGGAGGTGGGTCCCACACCGTTAAATCAGAGCCGTCAAAATATGTTTGTAGATCAAGAGAAACTGGAGTGTCTCAAATTTCTTCTCGGGCAAGAGGTTAGAGACGAGCGTGAATGGAAGCATGTAAGTTTTCATCTGGGCTTTTAATTGAGCTTATTTAACTAAAAGTAGTAATTTTTTCGATTAAAAATGATAATTGCGATTAAAGCCTTTCCTTTGGATTATTTGTGGGCTGGGGATATGCAGAAAATTGGATTAAATTAAAGCTTGTGTTGCAGTGTTAGCCTCTACTCGAATATTTATTGGGAAAATTAGTAAAATTTCTGCAATTTTTAATATCTGATTTTCTGGGTTTGGATTGCTTGTATGTGATGCTGTTAATTTTGGGGGGTTAGTCTTTTGGACCCTTTTTCTTCCACCTAAATTTGTTGGCTTTCGATTCATCGGATGTTAAAGTTTTAATCTTGGCAGAAGCCTGAATCATCTGCATTGTGATTTAGAATTATGATTGGTGTAAATTGAAATTCATGAAAATCGTACTTTCAAAAAGAAACTGGGTGGGTTTGTGTATAGCTTATCTGCATACGAATGACCCTAACACATTCGTTTTCAGTTTCATATGTCCGAATGAGTGGAGTTATTGCCTATCATATGACTAGCAAAAACCGACACTCGCGTGTATAAGTTTTTAGGAGGATGCAATGCGTGAGGAACACGTATTCCCTATCGATGGATACTTGTGAAGATGATGAATTTAATTTTTTGTGTTCATTTCTCTTTTTTGCTTGTGGAATTTTCCATTTCAATTTCCCTGTGGTTTGATGCTTTGATTTTGCATTGCGAACGTGCATCACATCCATTAACTTGCATTGGTTCTGTAAATATGGTTTATATTCGTGAGATATTGTGAACTTCACAGCTTATGCAATTGAGAATTACAGAAGGACTGCAGATCCTACTCCAATGGAGTCTGAAGCGGATTTGAACAAGCCGGTTGTGGAGAGTTCAGTTGAAAGGGATGTTCCAAACAATGAAAGTGGAGAAATGCTAGATTCAAACAATGGGACAGAGTTGATTGAAAATGATGTAAATGGTATCCTAGAACCTTATGTTGGAATGGAGTTTGACTCCGAAGAGGCTGTCAAGGAATACTATGATGCATATGCCACTCGTGTGGGTTTTAGAATCCGTGTTGGTAACTTCCATCGTTCAAATCGTGATGGATCCATCAACAGTCGTAAGTTTCTTTGTAACAAAGAAGGTTTTCGTAACAATAAGAAGTCAAAGAGGGGTGAAGTAAGGAGGTCGAGGGAGGAAACTAGGGAGGGCTGCAAGGCAATGATTATGGCTAGGAAAGAGAAGTCCGGGAAGTGGGTTGTTACAAAGCTTGAAATAAGACATTGTCATCCTATGTGGATTTCTAGAGGCAAGAAAGTCACCATTCCGGCTCCATCACAGGTAGTTGCTTTAACAAAAAAGTGAGAGTTTTTTAATACATGAATGAATTTATGAATCATATTTCATGGGGAGCTTCTGAAATCGTAGTGTAACAAATAGACCTTTGATTGATTTCGAACTTCTGAGTTCTCCAATATGATACATTTATATAATAACAGATATCATGTGCTTACAGGATGAGAAAGACAAGAAAATTCGTGAGCTATCTGCAGAGCTTTATCGGGCGAACCAACAGTTAGCAGAGTGCAGAAAAACACTTGAAATGGTTCTAAAAGAGGTAGACCAACACGCAGACTGCCTTACTAAAAGTGTTCAAAATATAGTTAAGAATGTAAAAGAGATTGAAGACAAGGATCGAGAGAAATTATAACATTCTTAGTTATAACAGTATAACTTATATCATTAACATTCTTAGTTATAACAGTATAACTTATATCATATCTCCTACCTTGCTAATTAAAATGGCTGGATTTGCTAGGCTTTTTAGACAGTCTAGTAGATGAAAGAAGAGATGGTAGCCTTATTGCTAATTGCTAGGTTCTGTATCATTTTATATACAATTTTCATTGGTTAAATAGAAAAGCTCCCTCCGGTAATGTGGGATGACCTCCAGCTTTAGTATGTTGTGATGCTGACCTGTTATTCAGTAGCTCAAAGGTATGAAAGCGAAATGCAGTTATGCAAGGACGAGGTTCCTGGTGCCCGCAGATGCCATTCTCTTTCACACAGGTGCAGACATCGGTGTCAGCATTGGAATTGGTTGAATGGCTGGACCGTATGAGGCCTTGCATAGCCGAAGCCTGGTATGGTCACGGAAAGTCCTGAATAACTTGAAGGGAGATACTTCGGTCATTCCCTTGGTTGCACAATTTCTACTTACTTGTTAATCACAGTTTGACACCAAGTACAAAAAAAATGTTCTTGTGTTTTTATAGTTGGGGTGGTAACTGATTTTTCCGTTGGGACGTCGATATTAGGAAAATAAGAGCTTCTTTTTCCTTTATCTTGAATCCTTCTCTCGTTGGCCAGTATGAGAAATGACCTCAATGTGTGCACCACCACCACCACCAGTATCGTAACCGGTAGCAAAAGTCTGGGACTTTTTCGTTTTAAGGATCTGACAATGTTTCCATTTTCTAAGGACAAAGAAAGGGATCCGGGGGCTTTATGATAGTAGAAAGGGGAGTGGGACGATCCGCCGAATTCACATTAGAAATTGACAACGTCAACGCAAACGAAATCTTGAATTGTGTATAGAAACAAGACGAACCACTTCTATTCTTCGAGCTGAGGTATATGAAGAATGGCTTTTTGGTCCCTTTCATTTCATCCAGTGGTCGGGACATTGTCTTTTCGTGTAGAAGATACGGGTTCGATTCTCGTGAGGGATAGGTATTCATTCCTGGCCGCTTTTGGTTAGTGTTCATTGTTGAGTGATCGCTCGCTATTTGGCTAGAAAAGGTGGTATGGAAGCTTCTTCTCTACCAAAATTAACTTGGCTCCTCAATTCGTATGTAACCGATTTATATAACTTTATGTTTATGATCGGAACTGTTCATATTATAAATCGCTCTCTGTAATGATCATCTCTGCCAAAAAAAAAAAAATCAATTAAATAGGAAATTTGGTCATCCAAATGTACAAAACAGATGGAATGATTCGGTAAAAAAATCACGAACCATTTATCTATTTGTTACTATTGATTGACTAAACAACCTTAGTTCTAATTGAGTTTTTTAGAGATGACCTTTATAGAGATATATAATATAAACACGAAAATTTGTAAATCAACTGTTAAGTGAATTGAGGAGGAACTCCTCAATCTTGAGGAGCCAAGCCTTAGCTTTATCTTAGAGAAACGAAGATATCAATGATGAGAGAACTCATATGGTCCAGTAGTTCATTCAATTCCAATAGCCGATGTTGACGCCAACGCCTCGGTGAAAGAGAACGGTTGTACCTCCAGCCACCGGAAATCTCGTGCTTGCATAACTACATTGGTGTTCCGTACATTTTAGCTACTGAATAACTTGAAGGAAAGTACCCGGCTCCTTCATTTGGAATGTTAAAAACCTGCTAATCAGAGTTTAACACTATATGTGAACCTTTATTATTGTGTATGGCTTAACTTTCAACAACGTTAATTAAGGCCTTCTCCTTGCAAATCTTATTGACCAAAAAAAGGAATATGGCTTCTAATTTCCAGTCATTTTAATTTTGTGAACAATGCTTTTGGTGCATCATGGTACCGTTTAGTATGCAGACGGGACGGGACGGGACGGAACGGATGTTCTGTGTTATGTTTGGTAAGCGCAGAACGGAACATGACTTTTATACCGTTCTGCGTTTGGTATCGCATGGACGGAACGGAACCAAAAGATTAAAATGACTAAAACACCCATGTTCCGTCTATTGTTTGATAGTATCTGTGTGTGATATGTCTTAAACCATGTACTGATTTGTTGCAATTCTACTACTATTTTCTGCTTTATTAATGGAGTTCGCAGCCCAGTCATCAAAAGGATAACCCTGGATTTATCTCATTTCCCTGAGGAATTATCTCCCATCAGGTTAATTATAGTATCAATTTCATTTGGCACTGTATTCTGCGATATTGTTGCATGAAAAAACTAAACATTTTATAAAGCACAGACTAGAGTCAAGACACTGAACTCTTTGTTACAATTTGTAATAATATCTGTTGTTTCTCTATATTAAGTAAATTGTGAGCTATTAGAATGCTAACAAATTTGATAATTAACAAAACCCAGTAATTAACACAACCCAAATCAGCAACAAAAGATAAAAAAGCAAACCCGAATTAATTAAACCCAGAAAATTTTCAAACCAAACGCAAAAGAATGAAACAAAACGACCACACAAAAAAATTGAATCAGAAAAGATTCATCAATTAAAGTAAAAAAATGAGATTCAACAAGCTATCAATCGCAACCTGGGTCGATCTGCAGTGCGACAGTAGCTGCTGCGTGTTGGCTGGGTGCAGTCGACGGCTACGGGAGAAGATGAGGCAGTCGACGGCTACGGGAGAAGATCTGCAGTGCGACAGTAGCTGCTGCGTGCTGGCTGGGTGCAGTCGACGGCTGCGGAAGAAGATGAGGAGGAAGAGAGAGCAGCGGCAGAGAATGGAGGTCTTACGAGAAGAGAGAGCAGTGGCTGAGAAAGGTAGGGTTTGTTTTTAGGATATAGATGGTGTAAATATTGAAAAAGACGGGGTAATTTTGTCTTAAAATGTTAAAAATTTCTGTTCCACATCTGTGGAACAACTTGTTCCGGGGGGTGGAGGTGGAACAAAAAATGACCCCAAATTTGTCCTGCGGAACAGCTTGTTCCACCCATTTTAGGCGTGCCAAACGTGGGACTGAACATCTCGTCTCGTTCTGTCCCGTCACATCCTACATACCAAACGCACCCCATATGTAATCAAATTATCAAACTGTAGCCGATTAA